CCGTGTATAACCAAGGCCTGTCTGATAGAGTCGGTTGTGGTGCAATTAAATGCACCTTCAATGTCCAAGAAGGCCACGAGTGCCACTTCTCGTTGATCTAGAGTCTTCTCCAACCTACCGACCAGATTGTGTAAGGCCAGATCAATCGATTTTCCAGCTTGGTATGCAAACTGATTTGCATGAATGACACACCTTTCCAGAGGGCCATCCCTTAAGTATCTATCAACAATCCTTTCCAGTGTCTTAAGCACAAAAGATGAAAGAATAATCGGTCGAAAATCCTTCGGGCCAGTATATCTATCTCTGCCCGGTTTAGGAATGAATACCACTTTAGCCTGCCGCCAGCTTCTAGGGGTGAAGCCCGTGGCCACACATGCTCGAAACACATTCAACAGGTAAGGAACAACCGAAATCCGTCCCTGCTGTAACATGGCCGGAAATACGCCGTCCAGACCTGGACTTTTGTATGGAGCAAACGAATCTACTGCCCATACCGTCCTTTCGAAGGTGACAATCTCCCTAGCCGTGCGCCAGTCCACCCTTGAGGGCCTGTGCAACTGCATGCACTCTGTGATTGATCGCGCTACTGTGGAACCGGGAAAGTGCGTATCCATCAGAAGCCTCAGAGTACCTTCCTCAGAAGTAGTATTCCCCCCGAGGGATCATGCAGAGATCCCAATCTTGCTTTAATGTCTTTGCATAAGACCCTGTGTATTCTTGCAGTAGCAGGAATGTCATTTATGGACTGACGTTTTTGGTATACTATTAGTGATCGCTGTTCAAAAAAGGTACACATTGAAATGTGCTTTGAGTATGCTCCGTCTCCTGGTCCTCTTGCCCTTTGCTAAGACATGCACAATCTAGAAAAGTTCGCTCTTGCAAAGATTTTGAAATCGAATTTAAATGAAAGTCGAGTCTTTCCGTTGGGAGTGAAGTTTGTATTTAGTTTCTAGTTCGCTTAGTACGCCCATGGCACAAGTTAGTCGATTTGGTTACTTACTTCGTATGTCATTGATACATAACTGTATGCCGGGTGTTTGAAATTTGACCCTCACCATCAGGATCTCGGAAACCGTAAGAGCTACACAGTCCTTTAAATTGGGGCAGAGTTGCGTATTTAGTAACTAACAAAATGCTGATTGTAAAAAACGATTTTTCCCTGGCTTTATTGCACTTGCGACATTTTCTCCTCTAAAAGATGACATAATTAGAATTTCAATTAGTCTTTTGTCCTCCAGCTTCAACTTTTTTTTGTCATACACGCCATATTGGATTTTTCCATATTTTAATAGAGATTTTAACACTGATTCCAAGCATAGTCAAATTTTCAATTCGATGTTTTTTCTTTCCACTTCCATCACCAAATTTATTTTTTCATGTGGACTATATTGGAATTTTGTATGGAGGGGGGCCAACTAAGAATGCGAAGTACTTTATCTGGGAACCTATCCATCGTAGAGGCTTGCGGCAAAAAAGTTTTTACTAAAACGGCCAAGAGAAAAACCTGGAAAACATTTTCAAGCCTCTGAAATGGCCTCTAAGGGGCGTAACTGCAATCTTGAATCTAAAAAAGTGATGTTTCTGTGAATTCCGCTATATTAACCTAACTAAAAAATACCTGATCTTTAAAGTCGAGGACAATGTGAACTTTTTGTTCGACAATTTTTGCTGTATCTCTAAAAATAAAGTGGTTCTTTGTAAGTTTCACATGCGGCCGCCAGAGGGAAATCGCTTAAATTTTTATTTTTTCAAACTAATTTTCCTGGAATTATTTTTTATTCATCAGAATGAAATATTACAAAATATCGCTAAAAGGTGAGTAATGCTAATAACAAAAGGCATATTTTTTGTTTAAATGCATATTTATTATGGGTATATACGAAAAAGACAATTAATAATGGGTGATTTTTTTGCTAGTATCTTTTTGGCGACACTGTTTTTGGCAGATGACGCGTGAATCGTGTCTTGTGTCATTGTCAAACTTGTTCAGTTTGATCTATAATTTAACCATGAATCGACTTACAAAGGAACAACGCTTGCAAATTATTGAATTTTACTATCAAAATTCATGCTCGGTTAAGAGAGTGCATCGAGCACTGCTTCCAATTTATGGGAAATTTGGTCGGCCTACTGTGGGAGCTATTCGGAAGTTTGTGACTAAATTTCAAACCCAGTTTACATTATTGGACATTAAACCACCAACACGCAGACATAGAGTGAGGGCTGAAGAAAATATTGCGGCTGTATCCGCCAGTGTTAGTGATGACCGTGAAATGTCGATTCGCCGCCGTTCGCAGCAATTGGGCCTCTGTTACTCCACTACGTGGAAAATTTTGCGACAGGATTTGGGTGTAAAACCTTATAAGATACAGCTGGTGCAAGAATTGAAGCCACACGACCTCCCACAACGTTTCCAATTTGGTGAATGGGCGCTGGCAAAGTTGGAGGAAGATCCACATTTTTATCGAAAAATTGTGTTCAGCGGCGAAGCTCATTTCTCTGAATGGGTACGTTAACAAGCAAAATTGCCGCATCTGGAGTGAAGACCAGCCAGAAGCATTGCAAGAGCTACCAATGCATCCCGAAAAAATCACTGTTTGGTGTGGATTATGGGCCGGTAGCATCATCGGGCCATACTTCTTCAAAGACGACAATGGCCGGAACGTAACTGTGAATGGCGAGCATCATTGGTCTGCACAAAAACCGCATTGGTTGCGTGAAGTTCAGCACCAAGGGTGTTGGAGTTTAAATGTGTGGTATGGCATACTGGAAGGCAGAATTATATTTCCATATTTTTTCGAGCAATCCCTAAACGGCAATGTCTTTCTTGCCTTTTTCGGCAATCATTTACCATTGTTGTTGGAAGATGTGCCACTGGAAACACGGCGAAACTTGTTTTTGGAGTTGGATGGTTGTCCAGCACATTTTGCTATTATGCGAGAGCATATTAATGCAGTATTTCAACAGCGGTGGATTGGAAGAGAAAGTCTGTTTCCATGCCTTTCGCGATCATCAGGCTTAACTTGATTTTTATTTATGGGGACGGTTGAAGGGCATTGTGTTTCAGACTCAACCTTCAACCAGAGAAGATATGAAAAATCGAATTCGTAATGCATACCGAGAGCCGATAATGAAGCTGCAGTTTTTTCTACCCATGAGAGTCTTCAGGAATGCATAGATCGTGATGTTCAGCATTTCGAGCATTTACGGAGACATTAAAAACCTTTCTTTTTTAAATCGGTCATTTTTAGGGCCACAACTTGATAATAAAAAGAAATTACAGACAAATTAGTTTGAAAAAATAAAAATTTTTTGGAGTTCCGTATAAAATTTTCTATGTAGACATCATTTGGCTACTTTTTGCATTCAATTTTTTGAGAAAATTAACCATTTCTGTCGAAATATCGTAAAAGATCTTTTAGCGGCCACATGCGAAACTAAAAAAACTTCCAATATTATAACATTTGTAGCCCAAGGTAGTTAAAATCGTCAGCTGTTTCAAAGATACAGCGTGTTTTTTACGGAAACCCTTGAGTATGCAATTTATTTTACAATCACATTTCAAATAAAAGGAAGAAATAAACAAGGACTTTGTGATAAATACTGTATGCGAAACAAATAACTATCTGATGATTTTAAGGCTTACCTGTTTTTGAAATAACTAAGGTTTGTCTATGTCCATGTATAACATATTAATTATATACTAAGTGGCATATAAATCTGAACTCCCAGTTTAAATGGTTTTATTTTAATAAAAGTTGGTGAATGTATTTATCTTACTGTAAATAACAAGTGAAAAAATTTTCAGCCTTATCAGTTGGACATTCCGGTTTTTATACTGCTTTTTTTATTAATTCACTAACGCTCTAAAAATGAATATTTCAGCCGCAGTAAAGAATCAGTCTCGATTTTGTTTAGGCATGCACGATGGTCGTGCCAGGGTTAGAAGGCAACGTGGTGAAAGGAGGAATCCACAGTTTTTTGCTGAAAGACATGTTCATCACACTGTTGGAGTTATGGTTTGGGGTGCTATAGCTTATGGTTCCAGGTCACCTTTAATCTTCATCAGAGGTAACATGAACGCGCAGCGTTATATCCACGAAGTTCTAGAACCCCATCTTTTACCCTATCTTGACACCCTGGCAGATCCAACTTTCCAACAAGATAATGCCCGACCACATGTTGCAAGAGTCACAATAGACTTCTTTCAACATAATGATGTCACATTGTTACCATGGCCACCAAGATCTCCCGACTTATCCCCAATTGAGCATGTGTGGGATATGATGGGTAGGAGATTGCTCAATTTGCAACGTCCTCCTCAGACTCGAGAAGCACTTCGAGAGGAGTTGGTGGTTGCCTGGAATGAGATACCACAGGAGGACATTGACCACCTGATCAGAAGCATGCCTAGGCGCGTTGGAGAATGCGTAGCACATCAGTGTGCATCCACACATTATTAAAGGTCAAAGGGCTTTAAAGCAGTGCAATTATTTTGAAATTTTTATCATTTACTTATTATGCTTCATTAAGTACTTATACAAAATTTTATTAAAATAAAACCATTTAAACTGGGTGTTCGGATTTATATGTCACTTAGTATATAATTTAGGAATCACGATTATAAACTCTATTCATCTGTGTAAAAATTCAATATGGCGTCTATTAGAAAAAATGAAGTTGATGCTGGAGGACAAGAGACGAAACGTCATATTGAAATTCTAATTATTCCATCTTGTAGAGGAGAAAAAGTGGCAATGTAAAATTCATTTTAAAATCCCACTACAAATCAAGTCAGGAAAAAAATTAAAACGATTTTGGGAAAATTCGTTTTTCGTCTATCTCCGGAAGTGCTTTATATTTTAAAACTTTCTGATCGATATTTTGCTACTTACTGAATACGCAACATTGCCCCCATTTAAGCAACTTTGTATCTCTCGCCGTTTCCGAGATCCCAATGGTGAGTGTCGAATTTGAAATACCCGGTATAGAATACTCACCTCGTTTGGTTGATCCAGTAGGATGAATATTAAATCAAAACGGGAAAGCATAGGCGAACTAATTTTCAGATTTTCTGCTATAGTTTTCGCTTTATTATAATGTCCGCCAGCGGGGTTTGCAGCAGCTAAAATCGATGCTCTTGTAGGTAAATTGCAAACTATCCCAGCTTTTGCGACGCTAATACTTTGCTGCTCCATAGCTTCGAGTAGACACTAAAAAAGGCAATATTGGACTTTTCAAAGTTGATGGATGATGTGTACACTATGGTGGAAATGAACACAAAGTCACTATTACAAGCCGACGACTATATCCGCCCTACGTCACGGTAAGACCATGTAACCCGTAAACCACTTGTGTCAGAGGTAAAACCTTGGAGTCAGAACATTAGAAAATGCTGAAAGTTTCTTTTGATATAATAATAATAATACTAATAAACCGTCTTATATTAAAAAGACAAATTACAGATAATGCATATTACCTATAATTAGATTAGTGAGCAGCTTAATGGCGAAGTTTAGCTATGACAGCTATTCTTACACTTAACCATTTACTGTATCAAAATAATTGGTGGTAGAAAAGTACAGCTGTAAATAAAATAAAAGGAGGAAAATGCGCATGAAACTGATCACAACCTAAACAAATGTTAGCATAAAAATATAATGCTGGAGAAAAACACCTTTAAGAAACACCATTGAGCAGAAGAGCTTTTAAATGTTTTCTAAAACTATACAGAGGCAGCCTTTTTGTTCTATAATCTAAGCTATTGTACAACAAGCATGCATTATATGAGAAGGACTGGTTAAAAAGAGATGAACTATGAAGGGGCATTGTTAAAGAGGATGTGTTACGGATAGGTCGTTGATGAACATTATACCTAAAAATTAGTTTTTCACGTAAATAAATTGGAGTTCCAGAGACAAGTAACTTACGTATAAAGGTTAGGTAATTGTACTTTACTAAATCTGTCATCTTTAGCGAACCTATTAAAGGATAACGATCGGAAACATGGTCAAATTTTCTTATAAATATAAATCGTACGCAGGTATTTAGTACAACAGATATTCTGTTACGACTCGCAACATTTAAACAAGGATAATAAACTAGATTGGAATAATTAAAAATTGATAACACAAAAGATTCACACAACTTTTTTCGCACTTTAAAATTCAGCAAATTTTTGTTCGCATACAGAGTTCCTAGACGGATGTAAGTTCTTTGTAAGAGGTTATTTAAATGTTCACGAAGCCGCACGTTTTCATCAATTAACACTCCTAGGCACTTGAGACTTTCAGAAAAAGGAAGATTTTGATTATTAATACATATACTTGAAGAAGCTTGACTTCAGATCTTCTGTGATTTGGGCAAAACAGCACAGCAGAAGATTTAGAAGCTTTGATAGTTAGGTTGTTATTGGCTGAGTAGGTGCAAATAGAGTCAATGTCTTCGTTAATTTCCATAGTAGCAGTCTGGAGGTTCTCAGGATAAAAGAAGTAAAGCAGTTGAGTGTGATCCGCATATGACTGTAGCTGTGAATTTTGAATGGACTTAGCGGCAACATAAATTACAAATAACAAGGGTCCTAAAATTGAGCCCTGAGGCACAGCAGAATTAATAAAGTGTTTATTTGACAAAACTCCAGAAACTGAGACGCTCTGAGAACGGTTAGGTATGATTTGAAAAACTGCAGTGCTATTTTGTCAAAACCATAAAATTTTAGCTTAGCACACATCAGTGCGTGATCAATTCTATCAAAGGCCTTCGAGAAATCCAGTGATACTACACATTTTTTTATCAAGGGCCCTAATGATGTTGTCCACTAAATTAAGAAGAGCAGTTGTAGTACTGTATGATTTTCTAAACCCAGACTGATGTACTGGGAGTATCTCACCTGATGATCCAAAAAATCTAAAATTTGCAAATACATGATTTTCTCCAAGATCTTTGACAAAACCCTCAACAGGCTGATGGGCCTAAAATCCGAGACATCGGCAGGTTTCCTGATTTTAGGTATTGGCCTTACTACTGCTCGTCTCCAAGATTTAGGAAGGTAGCCCTTCTCAAGACACAGATTGATAAAATTGGTCAAGTAAGGAAGTATAATAGGCAGATATATCTTACCTATATAAAGAGGTATACCGTCAATACCCTTTGCATTTGACTTAAGGCCACTCACAATAGTTTTGATAGTAGTAGGCTCAATCAGAATGAAGGAAAATCTCCGATTGTCGAACTAGTTATTGTTATAAAAATTGAATGTTGCTTCGTCGGACGGAGCAGAATGAAACACTGATGTAAAATAATCGTTTATAGCGTTTCGGTCATTGAGGTGAGACGGAATACTTTCAACATCCTCCCTGGTCCATGACAATCAACAAAAATACAATACTTTGAGCATTTAAAAAAATCTTCAAATTCCTCCAAAGAATCTAGGTTCCGTCAGTCTATTACAAGGCATGTGTTTTGGCAATGGTTTCTTTGTTTGTTTATTGAACATTCATTTAACATTAACGTTACACTGTGAATTTTGTATAATTATTCTTTTGCACATTTTTTCGAACCAATTTTCTGTAATTTTACATTCTTCTCTATTAAAATTACATCCCTATGCATTTTGGGCATTCATAAAGGTGATTTTTTTAATTTCACCTTAGTCATTTTTAAATTCGAACACTGTCTAATATCATTATTCAATTTATTAAATTCAAATACTTCCTTTTGATATACAGATCTGCTAGTTATGCTACTATTACAATTTTGCAGATGAAAATCTGTACTGCCTCTAGTTTCGTAGTTATGATAATGATTGTTTAATTTTGAGATGTTTGCTAAATGTGGTGGTACAAAACGACTTTTTAATTTGAATATGAAAATGAGAACTACAGAACATATGCATTTTTTCACATTCAATCACTTTAATTTTGAAAACATGTCTTTATTTGCAGTAAACATAATAGTTGAACAATATAAGAAAATGGGGAATAATTATTATAGTGTTATACACAATTTTTGGAAACTCTAGAGAAGCAACTTATCTCTTGATTAATCATGAGCGTAATTGTATTGTTACCTAAATGTTTCCCTATTAACATAAATTTTGTTTTACTGGTGTTTATTTCAGGTTTATTAATATTTAATCAATTCATATTTTTTCAATACCACTATTTATCAGTTCTAAAGCAGCAACCATACATTTGTGTTATATATACTAATCTATCGTCCGCAAATATCTGAATTTTGCAGTATTCTAAAAGGTAAGAGATATAATTTATATACAGGGTGGCCCAACGAAAAGGTCGCACCCCCTCTTGTGATTCTCTTGGTATATTTTGGGAAAAACTCTCGGACACGTCAGTTTGGACTTCTAGGAGGACGCCTTTTGATCTATAGCCGTACAATACAGGGTGATCCAAAAATTAGATATCGCGTTACACTTTAGATTTTTAGATGGAACCCCCCATTTTTTTAATTTTAGATTTTCCATGAAGTTTTTAGTAACTTTTTTATAACAAAGTATATACCTATCTTCAACCGTTGTGAAGCTATTTGAGTTTACAATAAAATTCGACTAACTTTAATATATATTTAGTATTAATTAATACTATCAGGGTGTCCGCAAAGTTGGGGTTTTCCTTTACACGACGTGTAGATCTTGAAAACATAAGCAATTTTTCTTAGTACCATATACACCAATGTCTTAAGGGAACCGAGATAAAGGGCTCTGCAACATCAAAAATATCTGAATACCGTCCTGTAGCCGCGACCCGCGACATCGCCCAGTGGTACAAGGTCACTGGCTCAACCCGACGACAGAACTGGGTCGGGGTCAGTGTGTCAGGTCAGTATGCAACCTTCAACCGACGGTTACGGTCACGCGTGTAGAGGTAATCCAGTAGACGAGAATCCCTCAACAAGCACTAGAGACGTGGCTAGAGAAGTGCAAGTATCAAAAACTAACGTGTAGCAAACGCTTCGTGAAGAGGGGCTGTATCCGTTTCACGTCCAACGTGTACAAGCCCTTCAACCTGACAATTTTCCAGCAAGACAATAATCCGGACTTTTTGAAGTGCATATTGGTGACAGACGAATAAACGTTCACGCGTAATGGGGTGAATAACTTTCGCAACACTCATGTTTGGTCAGTAGAAAATCCGCACGCTGTCCGTCGGGCACATTTTCAACAAACATTTTCGGTGAATGTTTGGGCTGGCATGGTGCGTCTGCTCGGTAGCGCATCAGCTGATTTCATTTTCTGTTGGAGCGGTATGATTTCGGGCAGAGACGTACTTAGCCCTTCTCGTCAACTGGAAAGTGAGTAATTTTTCCTTTATTTTTTTTTACTTGGTCGCCCTCGTTTCACTACACATTACCTTTGTTATTTCAAGGGTAGTTGTTTCTGAGAAGGAAACCCCCAACTTTGCGGACACCCTGTATATTGTAACAAGAATGAATAGTACTGATGGCGACATCTGTTGGGGACCGCGAGACTCTCCTTCAGTGGCGACATCTGTTGGGCACCGCGAGTCTCTCCTTCGGTGCTGGCGACATCTGTTGAGTACCATGCCAGGGACTTTTCTTCGAGATCGACGTGAAGTGACCCCGAAGATTCTGGAATGCCGCTATGTGGCTCACCGGAAAATTCTCGAATCAACGACGCGCGGAGCAGAGTACAGTGCAGTGAATGGCGCGATATGGTAATTCGTGAATAAGTAGTCAGACATAACTAGTGGTGTACATAAATGTTCTATCTAGTCAAGTTAAATAAATTAGTGCATTTCTTTTTGCAAAACCCAGTGTTTTAATCCACACCCAAAAGAACCCAGAAAAACGCTACAATATAATCATGGATTCCAGCAAGAACATTTAGGATCAGTCAGTGTCACTGTATGTCATAGAAAAACTTTCATTTCAAATTGTTAATTTATCTACCTAGTTGTGATAAATATTGAACAATTACTTTTTTTACTATTCAGGAAAGGGTAGCAATAACAACACTGTATTACCAAAATGGGAGCATTGCAAGAGCTACTGCCCGGTTGTTTAATGCGTTACATCCAGAATATTAACGATAAGTATGTGGCTAAGTTGATAAGAAAATTTGAAGAAACTGGACCTGTGCCTAATATTCGCCGTTATCGCCATCGAGAAAATCGTCCAGTTAGAAATGAAGCAGCAGTAATAGCAGTTTTGGAACACGTAGCACTTGACAATGCCCAAAGCACTCTTGGACTGGCTACTTCTTCAGGATTTACACACTCAACAGCTCAAAGAATTTTGAAAGACAATAAATTTCACTCGTACAAGATAAAACTTGTCCATGAGCTTAATGAAGACGATTTTTATAGAAGGTTGGAGTTTTGTGAATTAATGTCCCAACGTTTAATCAACAATTCAAATCTGTTATTTTATATTTGTTTCTGGGATGAGTGTACGTTCTATTTACATGATGCTGTAAATATACATAATTGTCGATATTGGAGTGACTCGAATCCACATTTGTTTCGAGTCGAGAGGTACACTCGCGATATCCTGAAAAAAATGTTGGTGAGGGCCGGCAATTTTGGAAATCATATTGTAGGACCTTTCTTTATTCCTGGAAACTTGACGGGCAAGACGTACTTTGACATGTTAGAAAATACAATAGCAACGAATTACCGAAATAATAGAAAATGACGATAATTATAATGAAAATTACTAATTTCCAACAAGTTGGTGAACCTCCGCACTAGGTGGCTCCATTACGACAGTTTTGGACACCCATTTCCCGAATCAATGGATCGGCAGATGAGGCCTAATCGAGATCTCCAGACATAAGTCTTTTAGATTGCTTCCTTTGGCGGCATTTGAAAAGTAAATAAAGTTTTCAGTACGAAGCGAGATACCAATGATGATCTTCATCATGCTGTCACTCATGAATTCATATTTGAGGGATAGAAGGTTATTTGTCCAATATGGTGGTCATAGGTCGAGTTACTATCGGGCCACGTCTGGGGTACCTCAAGGGTCAAATCTAGGTCCATTATTGTTTTTAATATTTATTAATGACTTGTCTTTTGAACTGAAGTGTTTCCATTTGTTTTTCGCTGATGACCTTAAAATCTGCAAGTCAGTCAAGACAGTCGAGGATTGCGTCATGTTGCAAGATGACTTAGCTCTAATTTCGTCATGGTGTTCACGAAACTGTCTCAGTCTGAATGTTTCGAAATGTAAAGTTATGACTTATACAAGAAAAGTTAACTATTTAATTTATGATAATTATAACATCAATGGTCACGTTATAGACAGATGCACCTCTTATAGAGACCTTGGAGTCATTTTTGATACCAAGCTAACGTTTACTGAGCATATTCTCAATATCTCGTCGGCTGCCACTCGACTACTTGGTTTCTGTATCAGAAACTGGAAGGGTTTCTCCAATATTGATACATTAATGACTTTATTTTTTACTTTTGTCAGGAGCAAGTTGGAGTATGCGACTCTGATCTGGTCTCCTATATACCAAAATTCTGTCGTAATCCTTGAGGCCATTCAACGTAAAGCTTTAAAGTATTTTCACCTTAAATGCACAGGTTCTTATCCAGAAAGAGGTTGTGACCATAGTGCCCTATTAGAGTTTTTCAATTTGGATTCACTGTCAACAAGACGAAACATATTTGCTTTGTCGTTTTTGTATAGCCTCATTCACAATAAAATTGACTATCAAAATTTACTTGAAAAAATATGTTTCCGCGTTCCAAGGCTAGGGAGTCGACAACAAACGGCATTCTATTGTCAAGCTGGCCGTACAAATGTTATGACAAAATCGCCAATTAATCTCATGTGCTGCGTCATGAACAGTGTTACTGAATCGTGTGATATTTACAGTGACAGTTGTGCATCGATTATTAACTGCTATAGATCATCCAATCTTATTTAGAATGTGTGATACTATAGATTTAAGTCCAAGAACCATGTCTCTTTAATTGTTATTTTTTTTCAGCGTTTCCTGTAATTGGGTTTCACCTGTTGGAAATAAATAAATAAATAAATCAGCGAATTACGACTGAATGTTGACAAATTACTCAAGACATACTTGAAAATGTGAGGAATATATTCGAAAAAAAACTTTATTACTGCTTGGCGGTAAATGGATACCACTTTCAGCACTTATTACCACATTGACCTACCTCACTATAGCAAATTAATTTTTACTTTAACTTCAATGTGCGAGTAAGCTGGAAGTTGTTTTTTGTTTTTCTAATACTCGGAGACTTGATTTTAATGCTAACGTAAAGTCTTTTCACTATGGGAAATATATTGATTATTATTTTTACGATATAATTCCTTATTATCGCAATTTCTAGAATTTTATTCTAAACTCAAATAGCTTCACAACGACTGAAGATAGGTATAACCAATAATGTACAAAAGTTACTAAAAACTTTCTAGAGAATCTATAAATCAAAAATGAGGGTTTCCATTTAAAAATATAAAGTGTAACGCAATATCTTATTTTTGGATCACCCTGTATGGTACGGCTATAGATGAAAAGACGTCTCCCTAGGAATCAAAATTGACGTGTACGAGCGTTTTCCCAAAATATACCAGGAGAGCCACAAATGCCTCAATGTTGCTGTTGATCCCTCAGATATTTTATCATCGATGTTGTTTTCTCTCGTACACCCTCCATCTGGAAATTTCGACAGCGAAGTGAGTTTACGTTCGGAATTCTTAGTACTCGAGTGATTCATCATAATTTATTTATTTCGTCGTTGTGAAGGGAAAGGGAAGAAAACCGACTACGTAGCTTAGGTGTGGAAATACGCGGACATTTTCAAGATACCCTGGTAAAAGCTAGCCGGTGGTACCGCCTGGGTCGACTGGTCCTTGTCTTTTTATTGTGACTGATGTTAAATAGACCTTATGTGGACCATTGGCCGATTTGTACCGCCACCCGGCAGTCCCTACAGAGATATTCTTTAACGCGTGTACAGCCTCTTGAATTGGAAGAAATATTGCTATATACAACATCCGGAGCATAAATATATAACTTACAGCATGTTGTGAAGGCATCTTATCAAACTCGTCAATACAACAACATCCTTGATCTGCTAACATCAAAGCTCCAGCTTCCATTGCAAACTCGTTTCCTTCTCTTGTCACACTCACTGTCAAACCAGAGCTAGTACTGGTGTTGCCACAAACATAGATACCTACGATAAAGCAATAACTAGGGGTGTTTCCAAAAACCGATTCGCTTCGCAGATACATTGGGAACATTTTTGAAAATATCAGTCTTCAGTGAGGAATTCGAAAAAGAAGAGCGGTTTAGGCCCGTATCGTCAGTCGTCCCTACAATTGTAGGGCGCCTTTATGGCCTCCTTGATTGTCATAGTTTTCTACTTCTCCGTGTCACCGCTCTATTTTGAGGTTATGTCACAAACATCTATTTGCATCAAATTGTGCTTGCTTTTGAGTTATATCATGTTTTTTCAGCCTGAAATTTCCTACAATTTAAAAAGAAAACATATCTTCACAATAGGAGAGCGCTGACGCTGACACGGGACAACTGTAATCTAGAAATTTTTTAAGGAGAGGAAGGAGTATGACAATCAACGAGGCCATAAACGCGCCCTACAATTGTAGGGACGACTGACCATACGAGCCTTAGAGACATGAATGAAAGAATCAATAATATAAGCAATGATTCGATTTAAAGGTAATGGGAATTAAAAAAACGAAGTACAGACATCAGGCAATACTGAAATTACTCTTTGTATAAATGGATGTGTGTACAGTGTTCGAGTATTTCTATAAAATGTGGTAAGCTATGAGAATCATTTCAAATAAAACCTATTATGCTAAGATCAAATCTGTGTTAGAAGAACTACAGTGTCCGAATGTAAAAAGAATCATTTATTACCCCTCATTTAGAAAACTGCACAAAATTAAATAGTCATTATCTTAACTACAAAACTAGAGGCAGTATAGATTTTCATTTGCAAAATTGTAATAGTAGCAAAATATGTATTTTGAAGAGAGTATTTGAATTTTATAAATTGAATAGTGATATCAAATGGTGTTAGAAAAATGTTTAAGGTGAAATTGAAAAATCAGTTGATGAATATCCAAAATGTAACTAATTTTAGACAAGAATATAAAATTACAGAAAATCGATTAAAAAATGTGTAAACGAATAATTATACAAAATTGACATTGTAGCATTAATGCTAAATAAATCTTCAATAAACAAACAAAGGCATATACGAAACGAAATGGTTTTTTCAAAAAAATTCCCAAATGCTTAAGTGGCATGTCATACTAAGGCTGAAACGTAGCGCTTTAAGCGTCGCGTTAGCATAGGTACTAACGAATCAAATTAGCTACAGAGTTACGAATATAAGTCTCTTATATACAGCGAGTCCAAATAGTGTGTCAAATCTCAATATCTTCTTTACTATTAGAGGTGCAGAAAAAAGTTAACACAAAAATTTACTTGAAAAAATATGTTTCCGCGTTCCAAGGCTAAGGGAGTCGACAACAAACGGCATTCTATTGTCAAGCTGGCCGTACAAATGTTATGACAAAATCGCCAATTAATCTCATGTGCTGCGTCATGAACAGTGTTACTGAATCGTGTGATATTTACAGTGACAGTTGTGCATCGATTATTAACTGCTATAGATCATCCAATCTTATTTAGAATGTGTGATACTATAGATTTAAGTCCAAGAACCATGTCTCTTTGTTATTTTTTTTTCAGCGTTTCCTGTAATTGGGTTTCACCTGTTGGAAATAAATAAATAAATAAATCAGCGAATTAAGTCTGAATGTAGACAAATTACTCAAGACATACTTGAAAATGTGAGGAATACATTCGAAAAAAAACTTTATTACTGCTTGGCGGTAAATGGATACCACTTTCAGCACTTATTACCACATTGACCTACCTCACTATAGCAAATTAATTTTTACTTTAACTTCAATGTGCGAGTAAACTTGAAGTTGTTTTTTGTTTTTCTAATACTCGGAGACTTGATTTTAATGCTAACGTACAGTCTTTTCACTATGGGAAATATATTGATTATTATTTTTACGATATAATCCCTTATTATCGCAATTTCTAGAATTTTATTCTAAACTCAAATAGCTTCACAACGACTGAAGATAGGTATAACCGATAATGTACAAAAGTTACTAAAAACTGTCTAGAGAAACTATAAATCAAAAATGAGGGTTTCCATTTAAAAATGTAAAGTGTAACGCAATATCTTATTTTTTCATCACCCTGTATGGTACGGCTATAGTAGAAATCAAAATTGACGTGTCCGAGCGTTTTCCCAAAATATACCAGGAGAGCCACAAATGCATCAATGGTGCTGTTGATCCCTAAGATATTTTATCATCGATGTTGTTTTCTCTCGTACACCCTCCATCTGGAAATTTCGACAGCGAAGTGAGTTTACGTTCGGAATTCTTAGTACTCGAGTGATTCATCATAATTTATTTAATTCGTCGTTGTGAAGGGAAAGGGAAGAAAACCGACTACGTAGCTTAGGTGTGGAAATACGCGGACATTTTCAAGATACCCTGGTAAAAGCTAGCGGGTGGTACCGCCTGAGTCGACTGGTCCTTGTCTTTTTATTGTGACTAATGTTAAATAGACCTTATGTGGACCATTGGCCGATTTGTACCGCCACCCGGCAGTCCCTACAGAGATATTCTTTAACGCGTGTACAGCCTCTTGAATTGGAAGAAATATTGCTATATACAACATCCGGAGCATAAATATATAACTTACAGCATGTTGTGAAGGCATCTTATCAAACTCGTCAATACAACAACATCCTTGATCTGCTAACATCAAACCTCCAGCTTCCATTGCAAACTCGTTTCCTTCTCTTGTCACACTCACTGTCAAACCAGAGCTAGTACTGGTGTTGCCACAAACATAGATACCTACGATAAAGCAATAACTAGGGGTGTTTCCAAAAACCGATTCGCTTCGCAGATACATTGGGAACATTTTTGAAAATATCAGTCTTCAGTGAGGAATTCGAAAAAGAAGAGCGGTTTAGGCCCGTATCGTCAGTCGTCCCTACAATTGTAGGGCGCCTTTATGACCTCCTTGATTGTCATAGTTTTCTACTTCTCCGTGTCACCGCTCTATTTTGAGGTTATGTCACAAACATCTATTTGCATCAAATTGTGCTTGCTTTTGAGTTATATCATGTTTTTTCAGCCTGAAATTTCCTACAATTTAAAAAGAAAACATATCTTCACAATAGGAGAGCGCTGACGCTGACACGGGACAACTGTAATCTAGAAATTTTTTAAGGAGAGGAAGGAGTATGACAATCAACGAGGTCATAAACGCGCCCTACAATTGTAGGGACGACTGACCATACGGGCCTTAGAGACATGAATGAAAGAATCAATAATATAAGCAATGATTCGATTTAAAGGTAATGGGAATTAAAAAAACGAAGTACAGACATCAGGCAATACTGAAATTACTCTTTGTATAAATGGATGTGTGTACAGTGTTCGAGTATTTCTATAAAATGTGGTAAGCTATGAGAATCATTTCAAATAAAACCTATTATGCTAAGATCAAATCTGTGTTAGAAGAACTACAGTGTCCGAATGTAAAAAGAATCATTTATTACCCCTCATTTAGAAAACTGCACAAAATTAAATAGTCATTATCTTAACTACAAAACTAGAGGCAGTATAGATTTTCATTTGCAAAATTGTAATAGTAGCAAAATATGTATTTTGAAGAGAGTATTTGAATTTTATAAATTGAATAGTGATATCAAATGGTGTTAGAAAAATGTTTAAGGTGAAATTGAAAAATCAGTTGATGAATATCCAAAATGTAACTAATTTTAGACAAGAATATAAAATTACAGAAAATCGATTAAAAAATGTGTAAACGAATAATTATACAAAATTGACATTGTAGCATTAATGCTAAATAAATCTTCAATAAACAAACAAAGGCATATACGAAACGAAATGGTTTTTTCAAAAAAATTCCCAAATGCTTAAATGGCATGTCATACTAAGGCTGAAACGTAGCGCTTTAAGCGTCGCGTTAGCATAGGTACTAATGAATCAAATTAGCTACAGAGTTACGAATATAAGTCTCTTATATACAGCGAGTCCAAATAGTGTGTCAAATCTCAATATCTTCTTTACTATTAGAGGTGCAGAAAAAAGTTAACACAAAAGTTGTAGGACTATAAATTTTTAGCTTTAGAGGGTGCCCCATAAATTAGTAGCAATATAAGATGTTTGTGTAATTTTTTCAAATGGAACACCCTATATTTCTGTTGATCTCTAGAAGCATCTTTTCTTGGTCATTCTGCCAATGTATGGTTTCGGGGTATTTCGAAATTTATGGCCACTTGTTCGTTAAAATCTTTATACATTATACATATCTTAAACACCACTTTAGACAAAATCTGTTTTATTTTACTGAGTGATGGAATCAGAGGTCGACATTCATATTCAACGTTTTTTATGTACATATTTCATTCCAGACATACAAGGTGAGTCAAAACAGAAAGATGTAATTTTCTCGAAAAATTTAAATCAAACGCCCTGTATGTCTTTTGTATGCTCCCTGGATTACAGCCCATGTTGAGCTGCCCCTGTTCATATGTCTACCAAAAGAAAGTTACGTCTCATGTTGGAAATCTCGCATTGGAAGGTCATAAGTCACACCCAGCCGTGACAGACTCTCAGTAGTTCATTCTGTTTAGAGATATACTGCTTCTTATTTCACAAACCAGGGGATTTTTCGTCTAATACGATCAGACTACATTAATTTTGATTTGTATTTGTGGTCAGTTGAACTGAAATCTTTTCACATAAGCAAATGATTGTTGAAGTTGAAAAGGTACTTACCTCTGGGAGCCACATTTGCACATGCCTGTAGCATCTGACTCTTTCCAAGACCAGGATCTCCAACAATCAACACATGAGATTCACCTCTGAACGTTTCACTTTTTGTTCCACCGAAAAGAGACAACAAAAGCCCTGCTTTCACTATCTCGTGACCACATATGCTAGGACAAATACAGTGGACCAAAAATTTGAACAGGTTTGGATGAGAATGAATTTCCTGAAAAAAATACATCAAACATTTTAGCTATAAAGAAACGGGATAAACTGTCTTAAATAGTAATAACTTATTGGATATGGATACGTATGTAGACTACAGAAACAACCTAAATAAAATAATTAAAAAACAAAAATTTAACAATTATAAGGAACAAATCAATGAAAAACAACACGATTTTAAAAAGATTTATACAATTATTTCTGATGCTGTTAATGAAAAAAATACACAATCTAGCAAAATTGAAATTAGTGAAGATAATAACAAAACATTCACAAATGATAAACAAATGGCTGAATACTGCAACCATTTTTTCATTAATGTAAGGAAGAAAATGGCTTGCAAAATTAAAGCCCCTGATATTCCCTTTAAAATTAAATATAAATCATTAAGTTCCATGTTTTTAAAGGCTGTCAACAGAAATGAGATTATTAAACATATCAGTTCATTGAAAAACAACTGTTCACCCGGTTTTGATGGAATACAGATGAAAATTATGAAGCAATATCATTTGTACTTAATTGAGCCATTAGTACACATCATAAATCTAATTTTTAAAACTGGCTGTGGTCCCCAATGCTATAAAACGACTATTGTTACCCCAATATATAAATCTGGAGATAAAACTAAAATTACAAATTTCCGTCCAATTGGAGTTACTACGAATTTCGCTAAAATATTCGAAAAGTGTCTTAAAGAGAGATTATCAAGCTTTTTATCTAGTAATAATATTTTGTCAGAAAATCAATTTGGTTATCGCAATGGCATCAGTACCTCAGATGCGATACTTAAGCTTACAAGAACCATTTCAAAAAATCTTGATCAAGGAAAGAAATGCATTGTGGCCTTCCTAGACCTTGAAAAGGCATTTGACACAGTGCCTCATGACTTCCTTCTAGATGTCCTCGATATTTATGGGATAAGGGGTGTTGTGTCGGAGGTTTTTGCGAGTTACTTGGCAGGTAGAATACAGAGGACTAAAATCGGAAATGTGATCAGTGACTCGTCAGAAATAGAAATGGGCACACCACAGGGCACCGTTATTGGGCCATTACTATTTATATTACATATATAAAGTATATTCAGATAAGAGATAGACCGGACATAAACAAGACCACGTGATCATCGAACGCTGTAACATTCGGCAGGGACGTATTAAGAGTCACGCAGTACATATTTTAGATAGTAGATGCTGCTTTGCGTAACTTTGTAGTAAATTAGCACAATTCGATGTGTATACGATTGGTGATGGATATAGGATCATGTGGGGGTGGGGTAAGAAATATATAATGATGTAAATATACATAAGGGTTTCAAAATTTTCGCTTCGATTTCCAGCTTCGGATGCCGCCTGATGTTTGGTGAAATACAGTCGAATATAATCTCAAAATGGCGTTTAAATTAGCCTAAATTAAAAATAATCGTATATCTCTTAAAATTGCTTTTAGAATATTGATTAGTATATTTTTTGATTTCTAGGTAAATATGTAACCAAATTAAAACGTTCGAAACGTAAAAAAATGTGCATGGTTGAACATTGTCAGAAAGTAGATTCTGGAATAGGTTTTGCCAAAATGGGTTCAAAAATGTCAATAATCAATTAAAAAATACAGTAGCTTTATAATTACTTATAACTTACCGAATTTGATGAACGACATCTTTTATTGGAAAGATGAGCTTGATGAGCTTTCATCATCGCTACTGCCTGAAGCACCAACGTCAATAATGAATGGCTCGACTTGTTCCTCTAAAATATTGTCCAGTTCCCACATTCTCTTTTCAACTTTGTCTTTCACGTGCTTAATACAGTTTTCCCATTTTTGCGCTGTTATTAATTCTAGTGCTTCTTTGAAAAGTCCTTTGAGGTCACAAAATTTAAAAGTTGTATTGTGCTTAGCTATATAATTTTTAACCTCTGTCCATATGAGCTCAATGGGATTGAGCTCGCAATGGTATGGAGGTAAACGGAGCACAGTTTTATTTTGACTTGCTGCCATTTCGTCAATGGCGTATTTTTGATATTCCGCCTTGTGATCCTTGACAATTCTTAATAATTGTACTTTCAGCATTGCTTCTTCAAAGTTGATATTTTTCGAGCGGAGCCAATTTTGAACATCAACTTTCCTTGAAGCCGTTGTTGGGACCTTCTCCATTCTTCGAGAATGATAAGGCGCATTATCCAACACAATTACTGCGTTTTCCTCTAAGTTCGGTAAAATTTTTGAAAACCACTGTTCAAACGATTCGCCATTCATTTCCTCGTGGTAATCTCCAGTTTTCTTAGACTCAAAGCACCACAGACCGTCAACAACAAATCCATCCTCACTGCCAATATGGCAGATAATGAGCCTTTTCCCTTTACACCAGTTAGTACTTCGATTTCCAGGTAGATTTATTTCAATAAGCGAACCTTTTTCAAATGTTTTCATCACATTCAGCGAAAAAACATTGAGACATGAGTATCAGATTGCTATAATTGGGATTATTTAGTCATATTGAAAGAAAGAATATTGAACGTCGTATGATTACTCAGCGCTTCACAATTTAATTTAAAGTTATAAACCTTTAAAAAATGAATGATCAGGAACCTGAAATACGCGCAAATATTAATATTAACAAGTTATAACTTTATAAAGCTTAAAGTATGAATTAAAATGATTAGAAATATTAGGAACGGTACACAATATAAAACTTAGTAACTTTTTTTAAGTTTATAATATTCGACATATTTTAAGATTATATTAAAAAATTATTGAAATATCGAAAACACATAAAAACATGGCTTAAAAAAGTTCTAACAAATGAAAATGACAATAAAACATCCACGCATTTTATCGAAAGTTATAAAAGTTTTGTTACTTGTAATATGTTTTATCTGCCCCCTGGAATTAATGTTTAGAACCTTGTTCCCAAGGTTTGAAAAACATCCGATTGTTGTCTATTACTCGTATTTCCCTGCTGGATTTTTTAATCCGGTGGACAGTCCATCTAGAAAGGCCCTCCTGGATGAAGTTACAGAATCATCAACCCATACTTTACTTGTAGTGTGTCCTGCGTTTACCCACGTTTCATCAAGGTAATAAATCTTCCTGTTTTGATTTCTATATTTCCCAATTTTTGTTAAATAATCCCTCCTCCATAGCACAATTTCTTCTCTATCGAGTAGTAAACTATTACGACCCCGTTTTTTCCATTTGAAATTTAAATGCTTCAGTAACGCATGGAAAGTTGATCGTTTGAAATTTGGCAACGTTGTATCTCCATTTACCTCCTGCAGTACTTTATCTATAGTAGGTATTTCATTCCTAAAGAAGAATTCATGCACCTTCCTCCTAATCGCATGCTTATCAGCTTCATCCAATGATTTAACAATACTTTTGCGATGTTTACTGGTCTCAGAAAAGGTGTGATTTTTTTTGTATTGTCTTAACACATTAAACACTGATGCGCGACACACCCCAACTTTGTGAGAAACCTTCACAACAATTTCTTTGATGGTTGATGCCTCGTTCTCCTCGCGCTCGATCTTATATACAGGGTGACTTTGAAGTTGAGTCATTAATTTTCAGATAATGATTGTAGAAGGAAGATAAACCAAAATATGTGTGTAAAAATAAAAAAAAAATAAAAAAAAATGTTTACCTTGTTTTATAAAGTATCCTCCCGACAAGTATTTCAGTGAGGTCCCCTCTGAGGTCTTAAGTCACCTGATTCACGAGCCCGTTGTACTACATTAACAAAGGCACGAGGGGTTGGTTGCACTCGATTGGGAAACCGATCCGCATAAACATGTGCCATTTTTTATTTCGTTTGAGCCACGCAACAGATACCACCATTCACTGACACTGATTGTATACAAATGAATGAGATACTTGTAAAAACATCGTTCCAAATTCTTTCGCTTTTTTGTTTCCGATGCGATGAACCGATACGGCGGATTATATCCGTTGTCGCCAAACACGACCACATAATATTGTTATTGAGACAGGGCGGTACTCAAACTTCCAAAGGGCTATAACTTTGTTACTTTAATTTTACCAGGAAAATGGTAAAGGAAAAAAACATTTCTTTTGATCAGATCTACTCACTGTTAAAATAAATGACTCAACTTCGAAGTCACCCTGTATATTCAAAATGACCTCTTTCATTTCTGCACTCAGGTGTCTTTTTTTTAGAGCGTTTCCTAGGTGGACTACAGGAGTTTACAACTTCATCGGCAGTATCTGTACTACTGGGCATTTTGCGCAAGCAGTTGATAACAATAACAATCAATAACAAGGTATAACAATAACAACGACAAACTCAACAACTTAATAAGATAACAAACGAAAACGTCCAAAGATATATCAAATTGCAATGATGCACACGACATACGTAACACGTCTGAACCTGAATGTGACTCTGCCTTGATACGACTGCTCTGCCGCTCGGCATAGGCATTTAATTGCGAATTGACCAATGAGGGCTCCTGTTTTACGTCGAGACGGCGACGTTAGCGTGAAAATCACCCGAACCTTTTGTTTACATCCGGTCTATCTCTTATCTGAATATACTGTACACTCTTTGATAGATATTATTCTAGAAAATGGTATGGTGGTTTCATACGCTGATGACACCATCGTGGTCTTTGTGGCGGAAACATGGGAAGAGGTATATGAAAACACATCTCTTGGATTAGGAAAAATACAATGTTGGCTTGATCTAAACTTAGTTTAAATGTGGATAAAACTAATTACATAGCCTTTTTGCTTAACATCTGCAAATCGACCAAATTTTAACAGCATAGAAGTAAACAGTTTTGAAAATGAAATAAAAGAGGTACCATACACCAAATACCTTGGTGTAATAATAGATCAAAATCTTAAATCGAAGCAACATGTGCTTATGTTAACTAACAATCTACGAAAACTAATTAGAAAATTTTACATGATCAGAGAAATTTTAAACAATCACTTATTAATCTGTGTCTCTAAAGCCCTATTGGAGTCATTACTCAGATATGGGATAACTGTCTGGGGAAGTTTATATGAGACAGCATTAAAACCTTTAAAAACTATCCAGAATTACATGTAAAAATATTTTTTAGAAAAAACAAAAGTTATCCTACTTGTCATCTTTATAGTGCAAAAATACTTGCTGTAAGACCATTGTATATTTTAGAAGTCTGCTCCTTTCTGTATAAAAATCTTTCAATAAGAGAATATGTTAGTCATCCTTATTCAACCAGAAACAATGCTGATAGAAATCTAATAATACCCAATAGTTTCACAAACATAAACTTAAGATCAATTGACTATATTGGTCCGAAAATCTAAAACATTGGCTGGGACACTGAGGATGATGAATAAATTAAAGTTCAGACTGAAAATCATTTGTTGTGGCAAACCTTCATAGGTACATATAGCTCTTCGTTAGCTAAATATGCAAATGTTTTCATCATTTTTTTATGTTTTTTTTTTAGGAATTGAAATTTTGAGTTGGTTGATTTTTGTCCTTGTTTAAGTGGCTACAAAGTAATTGGCATGACATTATAATTATATAGATTATCAAATAATTATTTGACCTGGATTTATTTTGTTTTATTTCACTATTTTATTATTAAAATGTTACATTACACATTATTTAAGATTGGTGCATATGGATATTAAGTTATCTAGGTACCACATAAGAAAAACTATACATGTTTTATTTTAGTGTAATATATAAAACCACTGTATATATCGTGTTGTATTGTATTGTATCAACATATATGAAACACATCAAATTCACGGTTTATAATTTCTTGCTGTGCTATTTTTCTTTTAACCCTTAACAGCAAACGTGCATTTATGGTACACAAGAGGAAATATGCTGTAGAGTAAGAGGAAAAAGCTGCAAATAACTTTGCTGACACTAAAATTTATAAATCTGGTTTGAACTACATGTCGAAGTAGCAAATTTTTACTGCACGCCACTGGAGGCAGTAACATTCTATGAGTGCTTCAATCTTTTCTTGGTCGCAAGGAAGTCAATTTTATGCAACAGTATGAGAAAGTATACTCATTCTCAAGAGAAACCCCAAAAAAATCCCTTTTTAGGGATAAATGTGATTTCACGAAAAAAAAAAATTTCCTAAATTGCAGAGAGTATCGTGCACCGTACCCGATAGACTTCTTTCTTTGGAGCTGGGGTGTAAGACCGTTTGTAACAACATTTTGATACTGATTATAATAGCTCTTGTTGTGTACTTTGAACCCTGAAAAGCACATCGACGCACTTATGCAGGTTTTCACGCAAAAAATTCACGACAGGCCTGTTTGTTATGAGTTGAGGTGTACAACTAGCTTTAGACACAAACCTAAATAGCATAAGACTCGTAGGCACAGACAGAATATATATAATTACCGCGCTCACCTCGTATGCGCGTCACGGGCTTCTATGAGTAACACTACTGCCATGGCATATCGCAGGTCCACTGTAATCTAGCGACGGGTAGGATTGTGGTGCCAGCTTTTGGAGCTACCTTCACACGCATAAAATTTTCCATGTTGCAAAGCAATTGTCCACCAGTTTATATTAATACATTAGTGGATTTTACCTGTATTAAATGGCAGTCACTGACATTGAATGTCATTCCCTCCGATGAAACATCCCTTCTAGATTGTTTCTTATCATTGCAGATCGAGATTGCTTCTAAATATAAGTTGAAAATGGTGTGCTGCTTATTACACCCATTATTGCTATTCGCATCTCGTACCTAAAATAGTGCAATATAATAAAAGGAAGTTACAAAACATCCAATAAAAATACCTTCACAATACCTGTTAGTGTTACGTCATCTCCAGGTATACAACATTTAACTAAATCTTCAGTGAGCTCACAATCTAATGATCGTGGAATTCTAGCACTATCACACTAAAAAATAGGAATGTAATATAAGATAAAGTAAAATTTAAAAACATCCGATTCCAAGACAAATATGGTATGAGAACAATTTTATAAATTTGATAGTTAATTATTATTATATGGTGATTTATTCTACCTGTTCATTACCCATTAACTCCTGTATCTTTATGCTCTGCCAAGTAATGATCCTGTTGTACGGTGAGATATGCAGAGGTATAAAGTTCTTTTGACTGTGACATCCTCTTGTCAAACATTTTGTAGGAAGTGTATACCCACCGTCACTTTGTGTGATCATTTGTGTACCCTCACATGAAGCACATTGGAAAGCTAAATACTGACAAACTAACTTCACTTGGCCAGCTTTTATTACTGTTCCTTTCACTGTGACAAGTTTGCTATAATAATTTACTTTCAGGTCTTTCAGTTGTACATGTGGTTCAACATTTATGATTCTAGCTTGTATGATTGGTACTTTTACATAATTATCTGCATGTATTTCTTCATGTCTATCAAGAATAAATTGATTCATAGCCAGGCCAAGGCATTTCATACAGTAATCACAGTTATCGATCACAACCTCACTGAAGTTAGGCCAATCAATTAAAAGTTGTTCATCTTCTAGGAGAATATTGATATCAATTGTAAAAAATTTGTTAATAACTATGTCTTCGATTGAAAACAAAGATTTATGGTTTCCAATGAACTTAAGCACATATTGGAGGTGTTTGAGAAGCCTGTCCACATCTGCAGCTGTAAAAATAGCAAGTCAAAATTTTCAAAACAAAGGATGAACTGGAATGTTAGACTCACAATCTTCTGGGAAGTATGCCCTAAAACACTGAAATCCATAATTGGGAAGGTTATCAATTGTGCTTATCTCATCAAAGGTCTTGTCTGCTGGTGATTTTTTCTTTCTAAACCAAGGTTTTGACATGCTGATACTGATTGACGATAGGTTCAACTTCGTTGAAATCACAAATATATTATACACGTTTAAAATTCGAAATGACGGTTGGTCAGGAAATGGTCTGTCAAATATCACCTGTAGGTCAAGGACGTTCAACTCGGTATCACTGCTGCTATTCTGTAATAAAGACAGCCCTATACTCTAATAAGGTCAATAATATAATCCAGAGAGACATATTTCCCGAAATTGTTAACCAACGCTTAAAAATGCATATGAAAATTGCAAAACTGGTGGCAGTATGTCCCAAATGGCTTCTTAAATTACAGTCATCCGTATCCAAACTGTAAATAAATTCAGCTGACCTTGGCATTCTTGTGACCTGGAATGAGGTGTTGCCGCCTCACCCAATGCTATAGTTGCAGCAGCAGCAATACTGAATCATCAAGTTTGAAGTGTGTTAATGCTAGTCAAACATATTCAGCACTTGAGATTAGGAGCGTGTGGTCAAGAGTTGGTCTCTCACGGCTTCTCTTTGCACGACGGATAGACGTCAATTTTGCAGTTTTGTATTATGTATTCTCGTCAATGGACGGTAATACCGCACGTGAGTTTCCCCAGTGATAGACTATCAAATCTAGAACCACCTTAAACTACGGTCATTTCTGTCTGATACTTGTGTGTACAACAGGAACAGACTGGTATATTACCGTCATTACCTCATATCGGGCAACCAATAAGGAAGCCGAAGCAGTGTCAGCTGTATCAGAAAATATTTAGAATCTTATAAACGAGAATGGAAAAAGGAGTTTCAATGATGGTTGCAAGGGAGTTTGAAGAGCAACCAGTATGCTCATTGTACAAGTTGTAATAAAGACCTCAATGTTTTTTTTTCAGGGACAGATGCACTAAAAAACCACCTGTGTTGTGCATGTGGTCGCAATACAAAAATATACTTTTTTTCATAGAGGGAGTTGCGGGACACAAAGTTTCTTGATCCACCGCTGATCTTGGGTGATCCTTGAATCTACCGAATTTCGTCTTTTTCGGTTCGGCAACACTGCTGATGACTGTAATTCACGGAGTCATTTGAGACATACTGGCACCAGTTTTGCATTTTTGAGCGTTGTGCAACAATTTCGGGAAAAAAAGTCCCTGTGGATTGTCTTATTGAGCTTAGTAGAGTATATTTATTTTCACAGTTGTCTTGTACTCGTATGTCGATGTTTGTTCAACTCGGGATGACCTTATTACAGAATAGCAACAGTCATGTCGGGTTGGTTGAACGTCCTTGACCTACTGGTCATATTTGACAGACCATTTCGTGACCTAACCTACGACCAAATGAAAAGCCTTCTTGTGAATTATTTATAATCAACATAAACTTTTCCAGCTGATTAAAAACATTGGAATGAATGCTGATATGGAGACAGATAGTAAAGAAAATGATAAAGAAGCATATTATTCTTTAAAAGACTGTTTTCATGATATTATCAAAGGCAAAAGTTTAGAACTGGATCTAAAAACTTTGGAATACTTTTTAAGAAATAACTTGGAGGTATATTATTATGATGGTATGAATCCAATGCTGAGATCAATCCTACCTTATATGTTGGTTGTTTTCATGAAGTCATGGCCTGGCTGGCAAAAGCTAAGTCGACTTATCAAGAGGGAAATTAGCTTTGATGATTGGTTTAGTAAATTTGAAAGATATTTAATATACAAAATCAATTACACTGTAAAAACTGAATTTGATAAAGCTATGTTGTTAATAAAAAATCTCCAGCCTATAGATGATAGCATATTGTTCAAAATTGATAATGCTACACAAACTGGAAATGAAAATACTAAGGATGTTTCTCCAACATTAATACAAGTTGAAGGACCTGCAAAACTCCTGAACTCTATATTGTTTTGTGAGACAGGTGAAGGTGAGTGTAATATCAATTTGTCATTGTTTATTTAGTCCTTAATACTTTAGGCTATTCTGGTATTCTAGAATGACCACCAATTCATAATCAGTTTACTTGGGTTCTGATATTACAGGATAATTACTGGTTGCCTCTGATTCATGCTTTTTTTATCAGTAGTGAAATTATACTCAACAAAATAGCTTAGCTGGTGGGAACAGCAGATATAGTCCCATACATATTAAAGAAACATACACAACTCTAATGAGATAGTTGAAGGTAGCAATGCTGTGATAATTCATTTTTTATTGGTGTAACATAAGTGTAGTTCAAAACTAACAAGAACCGTAATTTTTGCATATTCATACATCAGCATTATCCACCTGATATGCTGATATAATCAGCCTATATGCCAATCTAGGCTGAGCAATATAAAGTTTAATGTTAATAATGTACTATTGAATCGAAAGAATTATAAAATATGTACATAGAAAACACATATTTTAATTGAAGTAACTAGAAGTAAACTCTATTTGTTTGAATCATTACAGTCATTTTGAGATATATGTATCATTTAATAATTGCATTTTGGTTTCTGTGATGTTGAGAAAGGTGATACTTGATATTTCATTTGTGTGCTATTTTTCCCCAAAGAAATCTCTTTAATTTATTTAAACACAATAATACAAAATGTATAACCGTTTTAACAATAATTCTCCAATCAGTGCTTGCAAACAATAATCTATATCTATAAAGTATACAACAGGGGTGTTCCTCATAATTTCAACAAATAAATTAATTAACATTTTTGAAATCTTCCAATTCTCTTACAAAACTTCTATAGTTATTAAAATCTTTTATAGAATGATGTAAATTATCAAATACAAAACTGCCTAAGGTTAGTACAACTGGGATAAGCTTCCTCTTGTAGATTGTTCCACAATCTCGACACCCTCGGGACAAAGGAGTGGTCGTATCGGCCAGTTCTGGATGTACGAAGGTCGACACTATTAGCATGGAAGGCCAACTTCAGGCGGGTCTGTCTGTCAGGCACATCGCGCGGCGGCATCATGGAAGAGAGCTCTGAGGAGCAAAGCCCGTTGGTATAGCGATAGAAGAGAGCCAGATCGCTGACAGCCCGCAGATGCGAAAGGGTCCAGAAACCGTCTGTTAGAGAAGAGTCATCGATCGGTGGGACAGCCCTCCTCTGGACAGCATCGAGCATAAATAATGTAGTCGGGGCGGCTTTCTATAGAGTGCGAAGGTCATGAGGAGAAAAGTATTTCTTAGCACTAAACAAATAGCCTAGCCTTTTCCCAGCAGCTGCCGCTATTCACGAGATGTGTTCGTGCCAGATCAGGATCTCGGTGATCTGGACTCCGACCAGCCGAAATGAGTGGCTCTTTGGCGGAACTCGGTCATCCATCGAAACCGGACGCTTTTTGTTCTTCAAGGTGTTTTGGAAGCATTAAACTGTAGAAGATTGTTGCGGCCCCAAGCAGTGATAGCCTCCAGGTCTCTCGTCAGAGAGTAAGTCGTCGCTAGTCTTCTTTTTCCAGCTCAGCGGCGGAGATCGGCTTGTCACTCTAAATTCCTGCATGTAGAGTGCTGTCATCAGCGAAGCTGTGGATTGGGTTTATCGTGTAGCAAAGGAGGTTGTTCATATGTAAGAGGCACAGTGTCGGAGCCAAGACCGATCCCTGGGGAACACCCGCGTTGACGTTGTGGGATGAAGAGAACGCGTCAATTACGACGGATATCTTGTGGCCCGAGATAAAATCCGCCACCCATCTGCAAAGCTTTTCTGTGAGGCCATAGGATGGAAGTTTGCTTAAGAGGCCAGCGTGCCACAGCTGATCGAACGCTTTCGTGATGTCAAGACCAACGACATGAGCCTCACTATAAGACTGGATGAGTTTTCTCCACAATTGCGTGACGTAAGCTAGGAGGTCCCATGTGGATCGCTGGTGCCGGAAACCACACTTCCTGCCGCTAATCAAGCTGTGACGTTCGAGATAGTCCAGAAGCTCGGGATTTATGCACCTCTCCATCACCTTACTTAAAACAGAAAGTAGAGCTCTGGGCCTGTAGTTGCAAGGGTCGGTCTTAGATCCGTTTTTGCGGTGGTTTGGACATGAGCAAATTTCTGGGTTGGTGTCGGATTTATAAGATATCTGGAAGAGACGCGCAAGAACTGGAGCAAGCTCAGCTGAAAACCTCTTCAGTACAGTGACAGGAATAAAGTCCGGACCAGAAGCTTTGTTAATGTCAAACAACAAAAGCACTCGTCTTACGGTCTTATGCCTGAATGTTACCTCCCGGATAGTGTAGGGAACCCTTTGACGTGGGCGTTTGGGGGGACGACCATGATGGAGTTGGCAGCAAGATCCTGGCAAGCACTTTTGCCTTGGCTTTTGGGTCGGATACAATAATTCCATCCTGACACGTAAGTGGTGGAAGGCTACTGTGTGAGAAGTTCTTTTCAATCTGCTTGGCCAGCGTCCAGAAAGACCGACTGCCATCGTCCTGCGACATTACCCTGTACCTAACTTTTATATCGTGCTGGTCTTTGGCATTGCGAACCGCTTTGTGTCACACGATTTGTTAAACCAGCCGTTGGACCCTGGTTAGGCACTTTCACTGTATGAGGGATGTATTCCTCCATTCCGACGTGGATAATTTCACTTATCGAAAACCAGGCAGTCGACCCATCCGCGTCAGTGAAACAGACATCTCTCCAAGGAAAGGTAGAGAAGAAGTCTCTCAGCCCCTCCGAGTCGGCATGTCCGTAATGCCAAATTTTGCGGCCTGTGCGAGTTTCTGCAGCCACAGCGGGTTCTGACCGAAACCTAACCTCCACAACACCATGGTCTGAGTTGCCCAGGGGGGACAGGACATCAGTGCTGTAAGAGACAGGATGTGTGGTCAGAAAGAGAGATCCAGCAGGCTACTGGCATGTTACGAGACTCGGGGAAAAAAAATAGGGCTCGTCACCAGCTGGGTCAGCCCTTGAGTAAGAGCTGCACGACCTTCTGCATCGGTCTTGTTTGAGCTAAAGTTCATTATGGTCAGTGAAATCACCGAGGAGAACTACCTCTGAAGCGGGGTGATTGATGTTCAGGAAGTCGATCTTGACGGCAAGGTATTGAAGTAGGTCAACCCAGTTATGGTCCGAGGGAGAGCGATAAAGGCAGCAATAAATTTGGGGGATGTTTTGGAGTTGAGGCGAAGCCACAGAATGTCCTGGTCTGATTTCAAAGAAACATCTCTGGAGCAGGAACGGCTGCTGCGGACAAAGGCCAAAATTCCTCCGTTCTTTCTCAGATTGGAGTGCACCTCGTTTGGGAAGCTAAGATGATTAATAAGTGCATATTCTGAGATTTTTGTCTCCGCCAAGAGATGCATGGCGGGACCATTGGGTTGCAGGTAGTGATGAACAGCATCAATGTCGCTGTTAATCCCGCAGATGTTCGTGAAACAAATTTTATCTTCGATATTGTTCCCTCGAGTCCAACCTCCACCCGGACATTCTGAGAGTGGAGTGAGTTTACGTCCGGAATTCTTAGTAATCGAGGGATCCATCATCAATAATTTCTTTGTTTTGAAGATAACCGACTGCATAGCTAGGTGTGGAAACATTATAAGACACCCTGGGAAAAGCTAGCCGGTGGTACCGCCTCCGTGGACTGCGTGTTAATGATGAATGAACGGGGAGACGCTGTATACTGGTTATAACTTCCGGAACAAGGATTTGCCACGGCCCCGCTCAGAAGGGGTAATATTTATGTTACTTTTTTGTAGAACATTTATAATTTTATAAACAAGTTTACATTGCTCCACCTCCAATATCACTCTTAATTTGTTTAAATTTAAATTTTAATAAATTGTATTAGAATTTGTAAACCAAACAATATTTTCAAAATTTTATTATGCAAAACTTGAGCTTTATTGAAATCAACTCCACATACCTCGTACTGGCAAGAGGTACCTAAAATGTGTGAGAAAGAAGGCATTATACATTTGAAATTTGCTTTTGTTAGACAAATAATCTCTACTTTTATATAATACGCGTTTATTGCCCAACAGTTTAACACCATTTACAGAGCAAACTACTATAAAAAAAACAAAATCACCATGAGGTAGCTTGTGAAGAAAAAAAACAATAATAATTCATGTATCAATAAAAAAAATAAATATAGCTACAGCTTAAAAATAAGAAACGTAAGATAAATCAAAAGTGAGCACGCAATTTGCACTTCAATTCACCTATGCTAGATAAGAATATGTCACATATAGTCAACGCCAAACAAAGTGGCGTGCACGTCACGAATAAAATTTATTATTTACATATCTAGGTTTATAAGCAATATTAACCTCAAATGAGAACAAAAATAATAGTATAATAAAATTATAGATCTGTACTTGCATAATCATTAAGTATGACAATTATTGATCAGATGACACTATGAAACTACCATATTTAATTGATAGCTTAAAGGTACTGAATAAAAATCCAAATGGGGTCCTCCAAATTTTATGCATGGTATTTATTTTACAGAATTCATACAGAAAAATGCATTCTAAAATTAGGTAAGCTACTGGTGTAAGCTTTTTCTGTACAATAAAGTTAGTCGGAGTTTCTTTCTTCAGCGCTGTCTGAATCTGAATCTTCATCACTCTCAAAGTTGATTATTAAAGGTTCGATGTCTGGTCGATCAAAAATTCGTTCTCTTTCATACCATTTAAAAATTTCTTGCTCAGTATGTCGAACACTATTTTTCCACATGTCTGGGGTAACCGTTTGTAGAGCCTCGTTCCACATATCCAAACAGTCTTTTTCACTGTTACCATCTCTACCAATATGTCTGTTATAGTAACCTTTTGCTATGCCCCAAATTAACTCAATAGGGTTAAATATACAATGGTAAGGAGGCAGACGAAGAACTTTGTGCCCATGTTGTTCCGCCAATTCATCAATCACGTATATTTTAGGTGGTTTGTTTCTAAAAAAGCAGTTATTT